TAGCGTTAACGAAGATTCTTATAATGAAGTCCTGATCGGCTGGATCGGCAACTTCGTTATATCGAGGTGTGACTGTATTGCTAAGCAATATAAGAGAAACCATTAGAAAAAAATAGAGAAAACTGCTGAAGAATATAACGCATATCATGCACATAATTACAAACATAAAAAGCTAAAGTTAGCTTCAAAAATTGATCAGCAATGTAAAAGGCGCTTAACAGATAACCATTCATACAAATAAGCTATTTAAACTGTAAAGCCATAATAGGGTCATGCTAAATTATTGCAGCAAGTTCAAACAATAGAGCTGCAACAAAATTGAGTCATGAATTTGAATCAAAAAGACTAGAGTGATGAAAATACATATGAGGTGTCATCTGCTTCTATACTTAGTCAATTTGACAAAGATTTTCTGCAAAAATTTTGTAATAAAGTAGATAAATTAAAATATTCTCATTACTTAATATGCGACGAAAGGTTTTCTTCTATAGTGCTTGTAAAGAGGAATGTTATCACTATTATAGTAAGAATAAATCTCCAAAAAAATTTTCATCAGAGAATAACATAGATCTAGGCGAAGTGTCTAAAAAGCTTCAAGGACTTATAGAAATTAAAGAAATAGTGATCATATGAGTATTTCCTATGATATCAGTTTATAAACTTTGTAGAGAACAGCATAGATACCATAGAAATGTAATAAACTTTTCCTAAGATATACAAGAATTTAGAACTCACCTTTCTTGAAATCTATCATTATTAGACATGCTATTTGTATGTAATTAATCAGCAAATAACTTAGAAGGATTTAAGATTTTAAAGTCCATCATACTAAAGTTGCTTGTGTATTATTTTGGTTGAAGGAAAATAATTATTATTTTGAAAATATTATAATTAATGATGAAATTATTCAATCCTTGCCTATTGATAGTTCTATTTATAACTAGCTTCAAAATATTCAAATAGTTGCTGAAAATTTAGATAATGATGATGAAAAAAAAAATATGATTATACGCATTTTCATTCTACTTTTTTCTTCAAATCATTGTGAAGACATTATTATTTAAAATACCCTTGATCGTATGTAGAATGAAGTCAGTCCTATAGAATGACAACAGATAAATAATAATTCTATCAATGAATTCTAAATGCTAAGGTATATTGTATGTGCATTCTCAGCTTTATATCTAATAAGAAGTGCAGATTTACATATAGAATATATTAAAAATGTAAAGCCTACCAAATACTTCAAATACTTACTTTTATATAAAGATAGGAGATTTGTACGTCATATTTGTTGGTGATACTTTACCCTGAATTTCTAAATGCATTGGCAAGTACTACAAAAGGAAAAGTATATATTAAATAAAATCTTACTGATATTTAAATTACCATTACAGATATTCAGAAAAGAATTAATTAAGGTGATAATCATATTGCTAATAAAATAATGTGATTTGGCGAGAGTCTATGTGATTCTCAGCAATTTTGGAATACACAATGCTGAGAACTATCTGATATAATTAAGCAGATAAGTTCATAAGGCTTGATATTCTTTACATTTAGTATAGCTGATTTACACTAACTTGAATTTCACAATCTGATACCATCTAATAAAAATTCTGCAAACAATCACCAAAATATTATCAAAAATCCTCATATAGCAGTTTGATTCTTTAGTAAATAATTTGAGATTTTCTTTAATAATATTTTAAAATGCTAATGGGATTTAAAAGATTAGTGATATAGGTTCAAGTGGTAGCACTGAGGTAGTATTTATGTATATGAAAACAGAAAAGATGAAATGCATCTGATATAGAATAGAGTTGAATAAAAGAAGATGAAAATGTAATGAAAGAGGCAATACAATATCTTGATATGCTTATTACCATAATAAATCCAGGGCTTAATGCGCCTCTTCCTAACAAGCATTCATGTAAAAAAAGTAAAGACGAAGAATGCAATAATAAGCAAGATTATATTGATCTAATTAACAAACTTAAATAACATACACGTTACAGTTTTTCATATTGTCTTCGTACTAAAGATGTCAAACAATCCTGTAGATTTAAATATCTTAAGGAGAATATTACACATACCTTTATACACGATGATAGTCATGACCAACCAGAACTTATAATAGCAAGAAATAACCTATTAATCAACCCACACAGTTAGTTTTAATTGTAGGATTAGCGAGCAAATGTTGATCTAAAACTGATTCTTAGTATCTATGTGACTTTAAAATATATTTCAAAGTATGCAAGCAAAGCGAAACCTCAATCTGCCACCTTTTTAGAAATACTCAATTAAATCCTTAGTAGAAGCAACTCTGATGATCTAATACTTAACTCAGTCTAGAAGCTGTTAGGGGCATACCAGAAATCAGCTGATTTAAAGAGGGGTGGGTCAGTCTTTATATCAGATGAGTATAGTCATGTGATATACTTAATGTAAAATGATTGGTTAGTTTGATTTGGCTAAAAATATTAGCAAAAATCACATGCCGAATAAAATGATTGGTCAGAATTATAATATTCACATGCCGAATGCAATCAAAAAGCATTTTATTAATTTTATTATTTTATTCAATTCCTATATTTTATTACAACATGACACAACAGAGCTACATATTATATGTAAGGATATTTTAGTGTCTGACGTTATTACATCATCACATAAAACTAATATAAAAGCCAACTTTTTTCTTCTTTTTTTTAATCTTTGTCCGATTGAACTTTGCGAAAATCCCGTTCAACTTATTTCATACCTTTGCTTTGAACTATATCTTCAGTGACGTTAAAATTTAGATTAAATGGAATAAGCACACAACCCATTTCTATCTCATTAGCTTGTTTCTGAAAGCTTTTTGATTTCTTATTGTGACGTCTAGAATGTACACTACGCTTATGATCACTTATAAACTTAAGGGTCAGAAAATATTTGTCACATATGCTACAACATAAACACTAATATAATTCTCATGAAATTGAAGGGCAACAGCTATTGTACTTTGGAATTTTAAGTTTATCGTGATATTGAAGAACGTGAATTGAGTTAATGAAGTAATCATCTTTTCCTTTCGTAGTTGGAGGAAGGAATCCATTATTCTCATTTAAAAGGATGGCAGCATCTGGAGATCTATATATATCACAACATTCATTATTTTTATATTTTCTTATATCCAGTGAATAGCGACACATCTGCATATGATTCTCAATCCACTCCCACAATATTGAAGGCTTAGGATCATTGAATGAATGTCTCTCCTGGTCGATATATTCCACTATCACAGATTTTCCATGTATATCATCCTTTTTTCATATATCACGTAGTTTTTTTCCCGAATATTCGAAATTCTGTCATGCTAATTCTTTATCTACTATTTTTCTTTGACTATTTAGATGTGATCCGAATTTTCCTACAGGTAGAGTGATACTAGCAAGTTTTGCAGATAAAGAAGCCATACTGCATTCGACTAGATTATACGCACTTTAATCTGAAACATGAGTACGAATCGTCAAGTAGTCCAGATCAAGGGCACAGAAAAGGTGAGTATATTGAATAATATTTTTTATATGCTTCAGGTTTTCATCAGGTCCACCATCAACAAGAAGAATCCAAATAGGTCTAACTTTGCCTTCTTTCTTTAGGGTAGTGGAAAACTCTTCATTTGAAATGATACTTTTTAAATTTACTATATGGGTTGTTGATGAAGTTCCAATGAAATTTCTGGCTTAATGAATATGAAAAGCTGACTAGTATAAAGGGTATTGCTCGAATCAGCTGGATTAATAACTAAATAAATATAAGGTATGAGTTTCATTTTTGAACTAGTTGGAAAATCGTGATCTTTGATAGTTACTGGTTCATTAACTGACTGGATTGTTTTGAATGTGCGACCAACTGCGGGAATGCCCAATCCAACCTTTGCCTTATCATCCTGAGAGATGATAATTGCCTCATTAGCAAAAACTTCAGCAAATACTTTTGCAGCTTTGACGAAAGCTAGACAGTAATGTTCATCAATATGAGATTTCATTTCTGTCCATGATATAGAGGCAAGACCAACCTTTGTTGGATGATGATAATGACATGCAACAAAGGTACGCTAGTTTCGGGGTTGAAGATAAGTTGATAAGCATTAATGAGATAGATAAGTATTATATTTTTCTTCTAGAGTTTCGCGTAAATGCTTCACGGTCCTAACTTTTATGACCACTTTTCTTCATTTAGCATGAGCAGCTCCAAACTCAACACTGTTATAGATTTTATCCCATAGATCTGGATCTTTCATAGTCGCGGATGGTCTTCCTGAAGTATCATATTTTTCTATAATACCTTCTTCTAGCAATTTCTGTTTTTTGCTGTTAGCCTTGATTGAGCTTCAACATAACGTTTCAGCTTTGTTAGCTGTGCATTTTGTATTGATATATTTTTTTGTTCTTCAATTATCTTAGACGATAACAAAACTTTCATTGAGTCATCTGTAGCGATTTCTATCATTCATTAATATTCAGCTAGGCTTTTTGCAGCTGAATTGATTTTTTCAGCTGCAATATGTTATGATTTGGCATTTGGTGGTATTGTTGTAGTGTCAACAAACTGTCTTGAAGTAGATGGAGTGGATGGAGTGGAGGTTTAACAAGAACTGTTAGTTAAATCACGTGATATAAAAATTCTTTGATGAGAGCGAATAGTGGAAGGTATTATGTCATAATATTCCCAAATTTTATTTTCAATAAAGGCAGTATCATTTTTTTTAACTTCCTTCTAAGCTGCTACACATTCTTGCACGAATTGGCTTAGGGTCACAAAGTATTGCTTATTTGTAATATGCATATACATTGCAAAATTCTTGATATTTATCTTAGGGTTACTTATAAAAAAAGTTTTTGTTAAAGTTTGGTGCTTTCAAAAAACTTTGCATATTGGTTTGAAAAAAAGAATGCAAAGAAGAATGTAAGAGCACATTTTTGCGTTTTTTTCTATGAATTTTCCAAGGATTTCATACACATCATATTGCATTAATCATCACCTCAATGCATAATATAAATAATTGTTATACAAATAAATCACGCCTTAATTCTTTTATATTGATTTTAAAATAATAGCAAAAAGGAACTTATAGATCGAATGATAACTTTATTTATTAATTTTATTTTTATTTATTTGACTACTTACTATTTAACTATTCTAATTTAACTATTTTATATATGATTTTTTTTAGCCAATCAAAATTGATTATCAGGTGGGGGTAGGAGTTGGCTTTATATAAAGTGAAATCAGCTGATTTCTGGCACGCCCTTTACTTTACAATATTGCAGAATGTGATATTCTTCTCAAGAAACATGTTA